TTTTTTTTTTTTTTTTGTACAAGAACCTTCCGGTTTCTAGATCCACAGGGGAACCGACTAATTCAGAATCGAGCCTGGTAGGACCACAAGGGCGGCAAAGCTCTCCCTCAAGAGTTTTAACACTGCTGCATTCCCAGGGCTCGAACACGAGACCACTGGTTAAGCTGGAAAAGACTCAAGTCATCTCATCCAAACGCTCTTGGGTTATTTCCAACACACCCTTACTTACACCCTTCATAGAAGTGTTATTTCCACATTGATGAGGCCTCAAGTTGCAATTCTCATTCTTGGTCCACTCTATCGCTTCTTATCCCAAACACACGATAGTTTTCCTTCAAAACAACAGTGGGCGAGAGAGGAGTTCAAAGAAAAAATGTCCTGCAATTCGATTTCGCTCTCCTTTCTTCAGAGCACTTGGGTATCCTCCCCAGACCAGAAGCTTATCAATGCGGGCCGCCCCAATTTAGTGCCTAGGCTTGCTCGCCACCCTCAACGGCTCGCCGTTGAAGCCAAGTCCAGTACCCGGACAGACGACAGGGTTGCTCGCCATTCACGCATCCGTAAGAAGGTAAGTTAAGGCTTTCTATTTTATGCTATTTTTTGGCATTTCCTTTCAAATTCTGCATTTTTCTTCACTTCAGCCGTTTTGCTTTTCTTTTCTTGCGCTTAAGTTCTTGAATCATTTCATTCTTGGTGTGTAAGGTAAAGGGGATTGTGATTTGAGAAGTGAAGTTCTTTCATGGGAATGTAAGTGAATTAGAGAAAAATGTACTAAAAAAGTAGGATTGTTGGAACTTGGGAATGTCTTCCCTGCCAGGTGTTTGTAAATATGACTGAACCAAAAGTTTTTGTTCTGATGAGTAGTAATGGTGTATTTTGTTTTGTGTTGTAATAACGGGACAAATAATTTATTGGAGGTTTCTTGCTATCTTATGTATAGATTGCTGAGTCGTTGTTATTAGATATTTCACTTTATTTGAGGCACATTTTGTGGGCTTGTTGCCGGATAAATAATCAGACATGTACATGCTGCCCGGAGGTTATTTTTGAATAAGAAAACAAAAAATGAAGAAATAAAAACGAAAAAAAATTTGCCGTTTGTAGTTTCTTTTGTTGAAACGCGTGCATATTGCAAGCAGTGCTACCTACGATATGAGTTGCCGGATGGGAAACAAGATTGGATTAGTTTGGGAAGCCGATTTTTAGTTAATGGCTAAGAAAAATCTTTCTCAAGTAAAGTGTTTATTACTTGTTTAGAATCGCAACTTGGTTTTTGTAACTTTAATCTTCCATTTCCCTGTGCAGCCCTGTTATTCTAGGTTGTCCATTGGCATTTTATTCTACCAACACCTAAACCTTACGTTTTCTTGTAAGTGTCTCAACTTTTCAGATTGAAGGGACACCAGAAAGGCCGAGATTATGTGTTTTCCGGTCCAACAAGCACCTTTATGTCCAGGTCATTGATGACTCAAAGATGCACACACTTGCCTCGGCCTCTACTATGCAAAAACCCATTTCCGAGGAGTTTGACTACAGCTCTGGTCCAACTATTGTAAGTTTGCATGCTGCTTATTCCGAATTCTTAATACACGAACTTTCTGTATGTCCAAATTGTACTGCAACATGCTTTCTTTTGACTATTATGCACTAAATAAGACATAAAAACATGTGGCACTGGTCGGTAGAGGAGAAAACCACATTTATGCAAAAGGGTTTTGTCTTGACAGGAGGTTGCCAAACGAGTTGGTGAAGTTATCGCAAAATCATGCCTTGAAAAAGGAATAACGAAGGTGGCCTTTGACCGAGGTGGTTACCTCTACCATGGGCGGATAGCGGCCCTTGCTGACTCTGCCCGGGAGAATGGTTTGGAGTTTTAAACTTCTAGCAAGTGAATTGTTCTTCATGCTAATATTTCATCCCTCTTTCTCATTCCTTTTTGTTTGCTACTGTGAATGTGTGTAAAATGGATGACAACGCTTTTGAAATTGGATGATATTTTTGTGAATCAGCAACTCCTTGCAAAACCTTATGTGAAGAACCGACGTAAAATCACTGGGTCTTGGTTCGTCGTTTGTTCCTTTTTCAAAGTATTTAGCACTTGCCATGTAAGTTCAATTCCCTCCGATAATTGTGGTTCTCTTAGAGATGGGATCTGACCTTTCAGTCAAATCATTTTCTGTAACAATTTTTCTACTCTAAATGTTGATACTTGTGAATATAAATTATCAGAAATTCATATTTGCTAGTATTATTATAATATATTGAGGAACAATTTTTTTCCCTAAAATTTTCATATTATGTATACATACACTACATGTGATATGTATAACTTATTATCTCAATTCTATCACAAACTACAAAGATCACTTTTTGTTCAACACAACAATATCACTCTCAAATTCTTCAGTTCTTTTTTTTTTTTTCTTTCAAAATCATCTATCAAAAAGGAATTGAGAACCCGGATATCGAATCGGGCATTAAGCACCACCACCTGATCCATACTTCTTCCCGAAGACGACCAACTGGAGTTTATCATAGCCAGCAAGCACGCCAGCACCTGCTATGGCCCGTAGAATGTTGACACCGGCACCCTTGAAGAGGGATTTCGGACCCTCATTCTTCACGATTTGAGAAAACGCATCCAGAGAGCTTCTGTACTTGACAGCTTCACCAGAGGTCATCATCATCCTTCTGCGAACTGTATCAATGGGGTATGATGCAAGAGCAGCACCGTTTGTGACGGCCCAACCGAGAGCAAAGCTGGCAAAGAAACTATCCTGAAAGCCAAAAAGAATTGCCAAACAGGTGTGTGAGACAAGAATGTGAGCAAATAGTAATTAATGGTTAAATTAATACAAATATATTTCTTAAAGCTTAATGGCACTATAAAACTTGATTATCATATAAATATACATAAAATAAAAATAAAAACTAAAAACTACAAACATACCTGCATGTTTCCGGTGAGAAGCACCGGCTTCAAAGAATCATACATTCCAAAGTAGAGGCCACGGTAGACAATGATCCCGACACAAGATATATTAAACCCACGATACAATCCAGCAATGCCGTCTGACGCCAAGGTCTTCCTGTAGACATCGACCAGGCCGTTGAACTGCCTTCCTCCACCGGTTTTAGCGGCCTTGGCATCGTTTGCCAATCTCGTACGAGCATAGTCCAATGAGTAAACGAGTAAAGAAGAAGAAGCCCCGGCAGCACCGCCCGAGGCCAAGTTACCTGCAAACCATTTCCAGTACCCATCTCTATCTTTCTTGAAGTTGAAAAGCCCCTTGAAGTAATCCTTGAACGCGAAATTGAAGGCCTGCATGAAGCAAAGATTGCTTTAAAACATGAGAATCTAGTGAAACATCATATGGAGTTGATTTATTTTGATTTTTTTTGTCCAGAGTTGCCTGGGTTGGGAAGTAACGAATGACGTTAGTGGTGTTACTCCTCCAGAGAGCAGGGAAGCCCTCGTCCCTTATTGTCCGGCGAAAACAGTCCCCGACGCCCTGGTACGGCTCTCTCAGCCTCCCGGACTTGATCAGCTCGTCCTGATTCTGTATCAGCAGCTTCACCCGCTCGAGTGGGGCCGCCGCTGTCTTGGATACGGCCCCCGACACTCCGCCCATCATGAAGTCGACCGCGAACCCGGCCAACCCTTTCTCCTGTGGGGCCCGCACGAGGACTGCCGGAGTCCCACCAGAGGAGGCCAACACGGGGTTTTCACTATCCATTGTTGGGTCGAGAACTTTGAGAAATTGTGTATTTTGGTGATGGAAACGAAATGGTAGGCTCTAAAAGAGTGGATTAATGGCTATCTATAGGATGTCAGGGCTTGCAGTTTTGACTTCTCTGTTACAATTCCAATTGGAATTTTTGTCTGAAAATTCGTCCATGCTGAAGACTAATCAGCATTCAGTCACCCCAAATTTGAATGTCCACTTTTGACTGCATACAGAGGCTGCGCTGCCAGAAACCTTCCTTTTGATTTCTTCCCAACACTTGAGAGAAAGGATTTTGCGAAAAAAGTGAAAATAGCCTAAAAATGTATTAAGTTTTTCACATAATTTAACTTTTTCACCTCTAAAAGTGCAAAGACATTGTACGATAAATATCAGGTTATGTGACTCTTATGCGCTCAATTCGCACAAACCATTCACACTTTTTAAGGTGAAAAAGTTAAAATGCGAAGACGACGTGCGATGAATATGCAACACTTATGCAATTGATATCACTGTATTAAAAACCGGCCTAGGCGGCGGCCTACGCATTAAGTGCTGCCCGGCCACCGCCGATTTGCATAAATCGGTTGAAAAAATCGGCCAAGCGGAGCCTAAGCGCTCCTAAGAGGGCTTGACGGGCTCGGCGGCCTGGCGGCTGGGTGGCGCCTAGGCTGACCTAGGCGGACCTAGGCGCTCCTAGGCGGGCTCGCGGCAATTTTTTATTTTTTATTTTATTTTTTTAAACACTAATTATATTTTTTTTTTTTATAATGTATTAATATTATTATTTAGACATAGATGTGTTGATTATTACAACTTGAGATAATTTTATTTTGTAGACAGTAAAAATAAATAAAAAATTAAAGTATTTAATCTAAACGTTGGTGGGACGCCTAACGACTTCTAGAACACTGATTGATATACAATAATTATGTAATAGAATACATGGCTTACCAGATGACCGTGGCATGCATGAAGACCTTGACCAATCAGCAATGTATATAGGAGCCAAATATACACAAAGGACAAAATCCAGCACATCCAACACAGATGTAACTCATGATCCTAGTACAGTTAGCCGTTAGGGATATTCTTTACCTTGTATTTAAATAATTTATAGAATCGGAACCAATATATATGAAAGTAAATATATTAGGGCTGGGCAAAAAATTCGAACCGAACCGCTGAATCGTAGATCCGAATCGAAATCGAACCGAATTTTCGGTTAACCGGGGGACTCGGTTCGGTTACAAATACCTCAAATGAAGTATTTGCTCGGTTCGGTTCGGTTACGGTTTTTAAGATTTTTTTACCCCGGTTAACCGAACCGAACCGTATATTATATTAAAATTTATAAAATATATATTATATTATATATTATATATTATAAAATATATATTTTATTAAAATATATATTATATTATATATTATATATTATAAAATATATTTTTTATTAAAATATATATTATATTATATATTATATATTATATATTATATTAATGTTTTCGGTTCGGTTCGGTTCGGTTTATTATTTGCGAACAAACAGATTTGTGTTAGGTTCGCTCGGTTCGGTTCGGTTAATTCGCGAATAGTAGGATTATTTTCGGTTAACCGAAAATTCGGTTAACCGAGATTTTCGGTTCGGTTTCGGTTAGCGAGTTCGAATATTTGCTCGGTTCGGTTCGGTTAGCAAATACCTCAAAAAGTTCGGTTAACCGAACCGTGCCCACCCCTATAATATATAGAATCGAGAATTTGGAACTGAGTTTGGAACCGAATTCATATAAATAATTTATAGAATCGGAACCAATATATATGAAAGTAAATATATAGAATCGAGAATTTGGAACTGAGTTTGGAACCGAATTCATATAGAATCGGATCGATGTATAGCAAACCGAGCACAAAATCTAAAAATTAACACTTCAAGGATTTAGAAATCTATATATATATATATATATATATATATATATATATATATATATAGTGGACCAATCCTTATTGCCATAATTGACATGATTTTGGACGGGAAAATTTTTTCGTCTATATTTGGCATTTAATTAATATTAATTTATTAACAAATCTTTTGCATGAAAAACATAATTAATTTCTATACACTCCATGACTATTACTCATTAAGTACAAATTGGCTTAACCGTAAATTTATTAGATATATTTCAATAAGATCTATATTAATTTAATAGTAATTTATTGACACAAGTCATAAAATTAATATGGAACCAATTTAATTAAATATATTATCATCTATGGTTGTAGGTATTAATTTAATTAATTATATTCACTATTCAAAAGTATTTAAAATGTAGTCAATTTAACTATGTTTAAATCAATGCTCTTTTCATTTATTCTTTGACTTGTTGAGAATATCTTCGGTCAATGGAGTCAGATTTTTCGGAACCCTGTGATGAAAATCCAATTATCGATTTTCTATTGGTCACCTTGGGTCTACGTCTGACGAGCTTTGGCCGATGAAGCCGGACCTTTGAACTATCAATCAGTAGCCAAATCTCTGTGATCGCAAGTCGCTTAGTTTAGTATATATCATATGTAGTGATAATATTATTAAAATTTAAATAATATACTAATAAAAATAAAATTTGATGGTCGGGTACAATTCAGAACTATAAAATTCACTAAAAGTATCTATGTACCTTAAAAGACTATTCAATTTTAATAATATATATATATATTTCTTATATACTATTTTATTAATAAAAAATAAGACAATAAAAAAGTAATGTATAATAATTTAAATTATAACACATGGTAATTATGGAAATATATAATATATCTATATATAGATACTATGTAACTCATTATATAGGTTGAAAAAATGAATTAAATAAATAAATATAAATAAAAATATATAAACATAAAAATAAAATATTTAACCATAACAAAATTTTGTGTTACATAAGGATTAAAGTTACTAAAAATTAAAATTTATTTATCAAAGTTTTTAACATTTAATGCACGTAATAATTATAGCGAAAGATAAATATTATGAGTTAAACGTAGGTCAATCAATCAATGTGTAAATCTTGAATTGTTAAAAACAATATACGAGTATGATAAACGACAATTTTATAAGTACATACAAGTAATTTTTATACAAATATCATATGATCTTATACATTTATAATATTTTCAAAAACTTATAAATAATAAATTTTATATATTAAATAGTCAAAAACTACAAAAAAAAAAAAGAATTTATAAAAAATAGAAATCCTCTCTATATATAATTCCCGAATGCGTTGAGCCTACATGGCTGCTTCTGGTGCTTCGGAATCCTATTTGGCGAAGAACCATGCTTCGTATATATAATTCCCGAATGCGTTGAGCCTACATGGCTGCTTCTGGTGCTTCGGAATCCTATTTGGCGAAGAATCATGCTTCGTAATTAGGTTTGGATAAATAATATTGATATATTAATAATTAATAATCTAGGTTCGGGTATTCCATAAATATTATTTAGCTAACTTAGGTATTTTAATATCATTTTTACTAATATAACCTTTTAATTCTTTGTAATTTTACATAGTGAGACACTAAGTGACTAATATATCCCTGAATTTTGATTTGTTTCCTTCAATAAGCTATTGAATTATAAATGTATTTTAAAAGTTGATAATTTTTGTATTTCTTATCGGTTTTACATATATAATATATCAAATTAATCATCTTTTGATGATCTTCGATTTGACATCCATATTGTATATAAGAAATAAATAAATTATATTTATCTTTATAATAATAATAAATAATAATATTTATTAAAATTCATTAGAAAAATAAAATTATTTCTCAATTGATATATTTATATGTAATGTAGTTATATATTATAAGTTAAAAAAATTAGTATAATATAACACAAGTAAGTTGCACAAATAAAAAGTGTCATAATAAATATATAATAATATATATATTCTTGTAAAAGGTATTTAAATTTTCAAACTACTTTTTCTCATTAATTTTAGATTTTAAGAAAAAAATAAGCAAGCACCCGTGTAATACACGGGTGTTGTACTATCCTCTCTATATATAATTCCCGAATGCGCTGAGCCTACGTGGCTGCTTCTGGTGCTTCGGAATCCTATTTGGCGAAGAATCATGCTTCGTAATTAGGTTTGGATAAATAATATTGATATATTAATAATTAATAATCTAGGTTCGGGTATTCCATAAATATTATTTAGCTAACTTAGGTATTTTAATATCATTTTTACTAATATAACCTTTTAATTCTTTGTAATTTTACATAGTCAGGCACTAAGTGACTAATATATCCCTGAATTTTGATTTGTTTCCTTCAATAAACTATTGAATTATAAATGTATTTTAAAAGTTGATAACTTTTGTATTTCTTATCGGTTTTACATATATAATACATCAAATTAATCATATTTTGATGATCTTCGATTTGACATCCATATTGTATATATGAAATAAATAAATTATATTTATCTTTATAATAATAAAAAATAATAATATTTATTAAAATTCATTAAAAAAATAAAATTATTTCTCAATTGATATATTTATGTGTAATGTAGTTATATATTGTAAGTTAAAAAAATTAGTATAATATAACACAAGTAAGTTGCACAAATAAAAAGTGTCATAATAAATATATAATAATATATATATTCTTGTAAAAGATATTTAAATTTTCTAACTACTTTTTCTCATTAATTTTAGATTTTAAGAAAAAAATTAGCAAGCACTCGTGTAATACACGGGTGTTGTACTAGTCTATATAATGGACCAATCCATTTTACTATATTTGTTACAAATTTTCTCGCTCAAGTATTTCGACTAATTTTGGCAATTTCTATTGGACATTAGTTTATTAAATAAAACTATAATTGATTATTTCATTAATAAATTTGAAAAGATTTAAAATAATTATATTGACTTAAAATTTGATCTCAAATATACGTGGAGATCTTTATTAATTATTTTTTGATAATATAACCAAAGATATAAAT